CATCGTCAGATCGACGTGCTTCCCTGGAGGCCGATTTGTCCTTACTACTTACGGACTCTAGCAATCGTACGCGTGCACGACAGCATGGTCGATCTCATATTCAATAGCACAGTCACCTTTATTTGGTTGACAACCTGGAAAAGGAAATCGAATTCGAATAACCAGCAGATAAGACTCTACAATAGGTTGCACCAGCGTACGGGCCAATCAATAATCGATCATCACCATCGTTTGAGTCGAATAAATCAATCGATCATTTGTTCTACAGTCATGTCTTTTAAAAAAGCAAAGCGACAGCATCAGTATTGGAGGAAATGACTTCCAGACTACACCATGCATTTACACCTTTTAGCAACGGTGGATCGAATCCACTTATGTTGGATGGAGAAGACAAGGACATTGATGATTCCAAAGATGAACGGCGGCAATTGATTGAATTGTTCCAAACCTATGCTGATATGTATCCAAACCCCCGTTTGGTTGAAGAGTATCGCTTAAGGGATACACTACTACAAGCTGCTTCGGCGGCTAGCGTTGCTAGCGCGAGTGAGAAGAAACAGCAAGCAAAAGATCGTGGTTTCTTCAGTCGCTGGTGGTTTGGAGATGACGATGTCAAAAGTGAAGAAAAGGAAGAGGAATCTGGCTCATTCGAGGGAAACGCAAATGTCATCAGCGAGGATCCCTTGGTTTACCTGGACGCCGATGTCGAAACTGAGGACGAAACCCTATGTGGAACAATGCATGGCCTTGACCTAGAATGTATTCCAACTGAAGTATACAGTCTTGCCAGGTTTCACTTGGCATCAACTCGAACTCGTCACAACAAGGCGAATGTTTTTCGAGAAGGAGTTACCTTTTCTTCTTCTACGCGTTCCCTGGTGGTGGTTGGCCTTGGGCAGATTGCAGAACTCTCGACACAACAAGAACCTTGTCTGTCAAAGACATCAGATCGCGACATGCTCGCGGCGTATGCTGACGCAAAAGAGCAATTCTCTCTTTCGTATGTTCGAGCAACAGTTATTACAGATAATTGTATCGCCGTGTCTTGGGGATTCCTTGATGGAATAGTTGTTATCTATCGTCGCGTACAAAACGCAACGTCGTCCATCGGATGGGAAACTGTTTGGATACTGGGACCATCAAATGGACTCCTCGAGAACATTCGTGGACGTGAATTCTTCCATGACGACGAGAACCATCCAAGTTCACCAATGTTGCGTGTCAGCGATTGCTTGCCGCTTCAAGTTGAGACAGGAAAGCTGTCCGAACCGACCACTATAATTTTGGTATTGGCACGGTTGGGGGGTTACATTGAATTGATTCCATTGCCGCAGGGCGTTTGGGATGGGCCTGCTCTTGGTGAACAAAACACAAAAAATGCCTCAAAAGTTGGATTGCGAAACACGATAGCACATTACACTAGTGGTCGCAAAATCGAGTCCCCTCCAAACGCTTTAGCATTAACCACATCACAATGTCATATTGATGTTTTGTCATTGCATGCGCTACGAACATCTGCTTCTTTTGGCAGCAATTGGAACATTGATGCTTTTCCGGATTCACCCCCTTCGGAACACATCATTTGTGCCTCAGGTATGAATGAAGATGGATTAGAAGTCGTTTCTTTCTGGGCTATGAGTGCAATTTTTTCCGAGGCCCAGGATCGACACTTCGGGATTGGCACCCAGCTACATTCATCATTGATCGAAGCAATTACAACTAGGACAGGTGCCGACATCTCTTTCTTCGCAACAGCGGGTATTATGAAACGATGGAGAAAACCAAAATCTATTGTCATTCGAGAAGGCAGAAAGTTCAACAGATTACCTGTCGCCGACTTGAAGATTCAATCGGCTTTCCAAGAATGCACCACAACAATATCAATTACTGCTCCGATTGTGAAGCTTGAATTGAATGTGCGCAAAAATCCAGACCATGGAGCATGGCTCACGTTCATGGACTGGAATGGTGGAGTAGAGATCTTGGATTGTGAGTTGATCGAGCGCTTTGCCGCACAGTCGGCTAGCTCTGAAGAGTTCAACAAGTACCAAAATGCAGACCCTTCTGTTTCACTTGCAACGACAATTGCTGGACGAAATCAAATTGCAAATATTCTCAATAAGATTAGTGCTGCGTCAACCAAAGCTTCTTTGCAGCAATCAACAATTGAAGTTTGCGACATCAAATGGGCCTCACCGGTTGATTTGCAACTTCAAAATGTTGACTATCCCTTCTTGATTCTTTTCGTGAAGACGGTTGGAAATTCTGCCGTGGTTGCTCTTTCAGCAAAGTTATCCCTAAAATTTGTTGCATTGACTGGAAACGGTGAAGCAATCAAGCTGTGTTGCACAAATAGTCTTACTTTGATTGCAACGAAGAATGGGAGAAAAAGGAAGGGAATGAGACACTTTGCTTTGCAAGTTTTCCAATCACAGGAAAAGATAGGTACAAAGCGATTTGACAATGACTTCCACTCAAAGTCTGGGCGAGCAAATCAAGCTATCAATTCTCTTGCGACAAATGAAGACCCATCGATAATTGTTTCTGAAGTTTTGTCAATTGTTAGAGATGGTGCTACGGAAGGAACAATGACAGTTGAATACTTGCGCAAAATTTGTCACCATGCCATTTGCAGAGGAGGGAACGTGAGGGAGATGGAAAACCAGGTGCAGGAAATAATGTCTTTTCTCGTGAAACTTGGAACGTTTCAACTCGTCTGTGAGCACTTGTCCACCGAACCATCACTTATTCAATTCTGGGAGAAATTCCAAAATGTGTCGATTCCAGTTATTGCAAAGAGGTTTGCAGCGCGAGCAGATATATGTGCTCTTACAATTATCACTTATCGGCACCGAGTCAAGTTGGACGACTACATCAGAGTCCTGGATAGCATCCCCCTCCCTACTGATCCAACTTTATTCGCTCACTTGATTCCTACCTTTAGGCAGGATACAATAGGGCGTAGTTTTCTTTTTGCTGATGATGCAGATCACATTGTCACTGCAAATTGGTCAAACCTGCCTTCTTTTGCGCTACAAACCTATGGAATACAACTGTTTTTGGATCATGATGACAATGATAATGTTCTCAAGGGATTCTTGGATGGCCAAGATGTCACAACAGACGATGCAGCAGTGTTTTGGATGTGGTTGTTTGCACGAGCAGCATTCATGCAATCTTTTATTGGCAATGTGAAACACACCATCTTGCTCCTCAAACTAGGGGTGCAAAGCAAAAGTCACTCAATGTCGCACGAATTTGAAGAGACTGTGGGCTCCATTCAATCAAATCTTCTTTATTCATCACTTATGAGCTTCATCATTGAAGTTGGCAAGTTTATGGTTGATGGTAAAGAGATCATTAACAGACTTAGCAGTGATGATCTGATTGCAATGAAAGCGCAGGAAATTGTTGAAATAACTCTCAGGGGGGAGATTTGCCCAGCAAAAGTTGTTGACAAATGTTTCAGATTTCTCAGGCCTTTGGCAAAGAGTATGACTCACGGAAAGATTGCTGTTTTTGATCTTGACAACGCAATATCTTCGTTCTGCATTGGGCTTGTTGAGAAATATTGCGCCAATCCTTTGAAAAAACCACAAACAAAACAATGGTTTCATGGCTTTCTTTGCAGCGTCTTTGTCAGCCTTGCTGTTGCGGAGGACAGCAGGACTTCAAAACCTCGGGACATGCGTATCATCAGAGAAAAGATGGAGCTCCTACGCATGGTGAAATCAATTTTAGTGGTATCGGCGCTCACTTTCTGTAATCTCAACGTCACTCAGGAATCATGCAATTTGTTTCTCAACACCTTCTGGCAGCTTTGCGAGACTCTTCCTGCACCTATGCCATGTCGCTCAACAAGTGAACACGAATACGACACAGACACTCTGTTTTGCTCCAACGCTTTGCTGGGATTTGAAATCTTCTTGCAGTGGCCTGGATGTTTTCCATTTTGTTTTCTCTCAAAGTTTTGCCAGGTCCACCCAAACTGCAACATGGAAGAGTTTGGAATTCCTTTTATTATAGAATTGTGCGACTCATTCTGTGCGCAAGTCAAAAAGCGTCCTTCTCAGGAAGACCTCAACATGCTCTTGAGTGACCTCTTGGAGGATGTGACGAAGCTCAACATGCTTTGTTTTCAAGGTTCAATCAACCTTCCCTTTATTTTGACGAAGTATCTGGTTCCACTTCTTCTCAAGCTTGAGGCTTTTGAAGTGGTGATGAGACTGGTAGAGCACCATCCAAATTTCATTGAACACTCTGGTGTAGAGCTTGAAATGCTAAAATTGATAGAAGATGAGAACTTGGTTGAGGAAGAAGGCTCCGCCCGGAAAGTCTTGTGGTTTCAAGATCATGCAAATGAGATCAAAATGATATTCCCTGACATTGTCCTTGTATTGGACCCATTGGATAGATGCATCAAGGCGTGCAATTTCATCAACTCGTTCATTTTTCAGGGCTCTGCTGATGTAGAGCCAATGACACCAATCAAGATGAAGTATGTGCTTCCGTTTGACCTTGTTGATTGTATTCTTGAGGTGGTACCCGAAAGTGTGTGTTACGGATGTCCTCAATGGGTGAAGCCGATCCATTTTAGTGGGCAATTGTTGCAATATGGTAAACACTACACCAATGGGGAACTGGAGAATGATCCTAAACAGGTGGGCGAAGCTATTTTATATCTTGCTGCTATACTAGGATGCACCGACTTTTATTCAACAGCTTTGGTTAAGTGCAAAGTGGTCGAAGTCGCTGTTAAGGAGGGGCTGCAAGAAGCAGCTGTCAGACTTTGTCAAACTTTGATTCGTGAGTGGCAAATCACCTCTGTCAAGAACTACGCCACCACTGTTGGAATTGCAGGTGCGATCCATGATTCATCAATGGACAAGTCTTTTGGGAACAGTCTAGCCAGGTGGGAGCTTTGTCAGACATTCATCAGGGAAATGTATTGCTTGACAGGACTGTTGTGTTCCAGATCAGTGCTCTCAATTGTGTCCCTATGTGCATCCCTTGATTTGGAATGCACATGCTTTGCTTCCGATCAGCAGCATATGCACTCAAGTCAAGAAGAATCCCTAGTGTTGCCTTCATTGCTTGCAGATGGTTCTCAGTGCCCAGAGCAACAATCCAGTCTGAGCATGCTCCTCCGTGATTTTCACTTGTATGTCTCACTGGGAAAAATCCAAGATTATACGACAACTACGCTTTGCATGAGGCTAATCGACATCTATATCACGACCTTGAAAACGAAAACTAGATTGCTTGAAAGACTATTTTCTTACCAAATCATATTTCTTGGTTGCGTCTTGGGGCTTCATACATCAGGTAGTGCTGCACTGGTAGCACTAATCCATGGCCTGCTTGAATCTGTGGACACAGAGTTGCACTATCGGCATGAAGACAATTGCGATACAAGGTCAACTTTCATTTACAGTCCCAATTCTGAAGTAGTCAACAATTTGACCAAACAAGGCTATAGCAAATGTGCAGCTGCTCGAGCAACAATCATGAGCCAAAACAAAGGCTACAGTGCAGCGCAAGAATGGGCAATAGCTCATTCGTTGCAAACAAAATCTAATCAGCCATTTCTGAGCATCCAATCTTCAACAAAGGCAAGCAGTGCTGACGAGCCTATTCAGACCTTGAGAAAAGTGTTGGAAAAGTTGGAATATTTTGGCGCCAGTGGCAAAGCTGAGTTCTTGCTTCTGCATAATCCTCAAGCCCGTCCTTCCACAGAAATCCACTCAAAACCTCAAAGTTTTGTGAGGAAGCAGGCCATGAATGATGAAAGCACAGCAGTGGACAGCAGAGTTCGGGGGGGAGCTCAAAGCAATAGAAACTTCCAAAGTGATTTGATGTGGCAGCATGAATGCAGTCACAAGGAATTGTCTGCTCACAATAGCCATCGAACAGGTGTTTGCAACAAGGAAGGAAGTATTCTACATGTAGAACGCTCAGATTGTCGACAATCATTGGCACCGGGAGCACTCTTGTCGGGTCAGAGCACATCAGAATTGCGAGTTCTAGAAACTGGGCAACAGCAGGTTTCTGAAAGAGTTGCCAACAGAGATAATGGTGCAACATGTGATATTGCACGAGCTCAACTGATAGAAGAAGGTCGATTGCTGCTTCAAAAGACCATGAGAAAGAAGCGGTCCAAAGCATTGTCAACAACTTGGTCCACGCAGTAGAAGAAAATGCATTTTGAAACTAGACTAATCTAAAAAGCTTGTTTCTAGTACTCACTCAAATCTACATTAGGCCAATACTCACGGTCAATGAATCCGAAAACAAATTCCAAAATACTGTATGTAAATTATGTATCAACGTACAAACCCTACCACCCTTTACTGAAGCCTCAAATTCGTAATCCGTTGAAAGCTGAAAATGTTCCCAATTTGCCCGGCAAATTGGGAACATTTTTGTCAACAAACAGATTCCAACAAAACTCTAGGATCCAAGTCATCATGGGCAATGCCCAGCCCTACGGCCCTCCAACAAGGCTGATAAGCTGTGATAAGCCGTGTTGACCCAACTACAGGAGATCTACACCCCATGCTGTACTTTCAATACCCAAGCAACAGGGAAATTGAAGAGGCAGAGGCATGCTCAGATGTTTTTACCGGCTGAGGAATCACCATGATTCCTTCAAGCTTTCAATGCCCACATGGACATATAACATGACAGTCAAACTTGCCAATCAACCCAGAAAAGGGTGAACTGTATGGGGACCTCATTTTCACTCTTCTTGAATTATATGATGATGGAATTGAAAGGGAGGTGGAATACTCAGGCGCTTGGACCATCGTCGACAACGGATATCTTCATTGATATGTTTTAGTGCCTCCTATGAAGCTGTGGACAACCTACTCAGAGATGCAATTTAGCAAGTGATTGGAGAGTATGAGGAAAGATGTAAGGTGTACCTTTGGAATAATGAAAGGACGCTTCCAAATCCTCAAGACTGGAATCCCCCTACACAGGATAGAAGTTTGTGACACAATATGGCTTACCTGTTGTGCTTTGTACCAAATGAAGGATTTGTAGGTTAATGAAGATTACTAGTTGTGTGGTGCTTATGGTATATAGGTAACAATCTCTTTGTCATTATGGCGCGGTTGAAAGCTGTCGGGAAGAGTTGAAGTACCCGTTACAAAGGTGAAGGAGACAAGTAACCAAAACAGAAAAAAGTGGCATCTTGGTGGATTCTGATTGGTCTGCATCTGAGACAGTTTCCTGGTGCTTTTGGGTGTCATGGAACTTGTCCTTTATTGTCCAGTACTTCCCCCTTAATGCTATATTGCTATTCCCTTAATTGACAGTTCCATTGGGTAAAAAGGACAAGGACACTGTGTTTTTTATCACCACCCCATGTGAAGCCTATGTGATAGATGAGAACCCCTCGTCCTTTTTATGACAAGGAAATTGTCTTTTTGAGGAGAAGAACCTTCTCATTTTTGGAAAGTTTCCATTTGATTTTGTCTCAGAACCTTGGGATGCAAAGCTGTCTGACCGTGATTTTGATCAGATGCATCTTCAATTTTCCACCCACAGGATTTGTCATTAAAGAACAATGTGCTTGTTGTCCTATGGGAACTTCATTGTCCTTAAAACAGTGGGTCCTTTCCTTTGGAAGACTAGTTTATGGTGATGAAAGGGCATGCAGTTGGCAAAACCATTGAAAGTGCCCATTCATTGTATCACATAGACATTTACATTACTTGACAATTTATTGATCTATTGAAAAGGCTAGACTGGACCAAAAATCTCAATAGGTGGAACAGTGCTCCGACCTCTGACCATGTTCTGCAGTGCTACTGTTATAGCTTGCCTCTGTCACCTGTTGATCCATCTTGTCTATCACTTTATGATCTTGTTTGCTTGCAAGTGAAACCATTATTTCCACTAGTAGTACTCCTCCGTCTTGAAGATCAGCATCCACCCAGGCAGTGTTGGTGATAGATACGAGGTTCTTGCTTTGCTTTGTAGAGGATGAGACAGTATCACCACAGCGCATTGGGTGTATTCTGTTTTTGGCTGGTTGCGCTGAGTTGCTGACTAATGTCTTGGTGACGAGCACCTGTAGGCAAGAAAGCAAGATGATGTTAGAAAGCAGGATGTACAAATCATTGTAGTAGGTCTAGATCACCAATTGACTTGCCATTTGCAGATGTCCTCCTTGCGGCCTCACATGTGATCAATGGTGCAAATTATGGATTTTTGGCCAACCTGCTCGCCCTAATAAAAGAAAAGCAAGGCAACAACATGTTAGACGATGATCATATTGTAATAGGATGTGGGTTATGTACAAAATTACAGACCAAGAATTGACTTGCCATTTACAGCTGCCCTCTACTTCTATGACTGGTATACTTGATGTTTGTGGACGGGGTTGTAGAAAATTGTGAAATGGTTGTGTTGGTGAAAATTGTCACTTTCCAAAACCAAACCCTTTTTATGTACAAGACTACCAAAAGGCTAGGAGCGGTAGAAACATAGTATGTATTTACATAATTATATGGGCTGGTGAAATTTTGTGTAGAATGTACAACAAAATGTACCATGAGAAATTTTGGCGCACAACTCCCAAGTGGTGTGGTACCAGGAGTGAGCGCGCAAGACAACTCAAAATTGGCAGGTGCACTCCATAAACAGTCATATTTGTCAGCACCAGCAATGGAATTTGACATCAATGCACTGGAATCACCAGTTGTGAATCCTCCTTCTCCAGTTTTCACCCATCCCTTTCTGAAGCCAAACCATCGCACACAGTGGCTGTTTTCTATCCAATGCAATAGGAATCCGTTTCTATTTTCTTCAGTCTTGAAAACAGTTTTGTGTTTGTTGTTACACAGCGAGCGCTTTGCGTCAAATTCCAGTACTTTATTCAACGTTCATTTTGAACGTGGCAGTCCTAAGCCGGTTGGTCAACATTTGAGCCTTCATCCATCAGAAAAGTATTGGAGGGTTGCCACGCCGTCCCAGTACCAGCTTTTACGTGTCACCAAAGACCAATATGAAAACTCAAGGTGGCTGAGTTTGACTGTTGGATGTCCATCATGGTGAGTTTGATTGTTGGATATTTTTGACTGTTGGACATTGACAAACCGATCGCTCATGTCATGGTATGGTTTGCATTGCACTCTCAAGGTGAGTTCGATTGTTGTATGTTGCGATTGTCAATCACGTTGACGAAAGCGGTCGCTCAAGTCTAGACATGGTTTGAATCCACCCAACAATACACCGTTGCCATCGCTTGACTACTCCAAACCTAACAAGCCATCTCTGGGAAGAATTGATCCAGCAGAAGAGAAATGGCGTCTATCAAGGTGAGTTGGATTGTTGAGTGTTGCATTTATGATTGTAATTGCACACACATGTGTATATGTGATATGTGTTCTTCATCTAAAATTTGACTTGGTCGACTGCTATAGTAAAACCAATACCATAAGTAAATCTTCCGTTGGGACATTACGCAAGACAGTTTCGCTCAATGCAGCTGTTCCAAGTCGTACTGCACACTTATGGACCGACTATCAGAAGTGAAACTGCAAAACCCTCAAAAACCCAAGCTCTGTAATGACTTTGGAGTGACCTTGGAACTAGATTAGATCCTTCGGAGGTACAGACATAGCTTTAGGCCTGACTCTCATGTCACTCCTTTCTGTGGCTTTCTGAGAGACTCTATAACTTTTGTTGTTACCCATTCCTATCTCTTCTTCTAGGCTGGTTCATTATTTGAATAGCCATAAGGCTTAGATTGAAGACTACAAGAGTATACTCATACACACACAAGCAATTGCCGTTTGACTTGATCGAAAAACCTCGATCCTTTCAGATTTTCAACCAGTTAACAACACAGTCAAAACTACTATGCTGAGTCGCACTACAATCAAGAAGCTGAAAGCTTTGCTGCGGAAGGCAGCGTTCCTGAATGGAACCAAGATGGAATGTCTTATGGTGGAATGCCAAGTGCCGAGCAGTACCAGCATCAGGAACACTATTATCAAGCTGAAGAAAATCAACAATGGAACGATCAATTCAACTTTGAACAGGAAATAAAGAACAGGAGGCGCAAGAATGGGCGTCGCCAACATTCATCATTCCAAAGAAGGACGGTAGGGTGCGATAGACCAGCGATCTCAGACAGGTGAAAAAAACTGTCAAGCGTAAAGTATACCCCTTGCCTTTGATTGATGATATTGTTGCGCGTCGTTCTGGCTACAAAAATTTCACTCAACTTGAACTCACAATGATGTATTATTCTTTTATATGAATTATTCTTTGATAACGTGATTGCCAACTGCTTCTCTCAACGCCGTTTGAAGGGAAGAGTCCAAATAAAGCGAAAAGAGACAGTACAAGATCAATGAAAACGCAAAGCAAAAAGAATTTGATTACAGAATTGCGCACAGATGCGATCCGTGAGAGGATCAACATCACACCGCTTGTGCCGTTCTGTCGAGTCTAATGGACGATATGCTTGCATCACCCATTGCTTCAAGAACCACCTCTGAAGTTGAATGGAGAATCAAGTGGATGTAAGGACGCCTTGTGACTTTTAGTGTATGATCAATCAACTTGCTCTGATCATAGAAGGGAAGAGTGTAATGACCTTGGAGTGACCTTGGAACTAGATTAGATCCTTTGGAGGTACAGACATAGCTTTAGGCCTAACTCTCACATCACTCCTTTCTGTGGCTTTCTGAGAGACTCTATAACTTTTGTTGTGACCCATTCCTATCTCTTCTTCTAGACTGGTTCACACTCCTGATATCCTCGTTTGCAACCAAACAACTGTCATGATCATCCCAATGTTGTCTGAACCAAACACCAGCAGAACCTGACAGAAGGTAACAATAAACCTCAATTGCCAATGGATCTGCCGCTATTGAATTGTTTGAGCTGCATGAAAAAATTGTTGAGGGAGCAAAGGCAAAATAATATAATTTCATTTTGACAATCAGGAAGTTCGAGGAGTCCCTGGTCCAAAAATTGCAAGAGAAAGGCACTATCTCTCACTATATGCACTCTGTGGGTGTTTGTTCGAACCATTCTTTGGCAAAGAAAGTGTCCATTTTGGCTTTGGCATCACTCAAGGTGAGTTTCATTGTTGAATGCTGCATTTACAAGCGTTGATAAAAGCGGTTGCTCATATCTTGACATGGTTGCATCCACATAACAATACACCGTCGCCATCGCAGGACTGACTCCTCCAAACCTGTCAAGACCTTTTGGAGAAGAATTGGTCAAGCAGAAGAGAAATGGCGTCCCTCAAGGTGAGTGTGATTGTCGGATGCTGCGATTGTCAATCATCTTTACAAAAGCGGTCGCTCATATCTTGACATGTTTGTATTCACCCAACAGTACACCGTCGTCATTGCATGACTCCTTCAAACCTATCAAGACCTTTCGAGAAGAATTGGTCAAGCAGAAGAGAAATAGCGTCCCTGAAGGTGAGTTTGATTGTCGGATGCTGCGATTGTCAATCATGTTGTTGAAAATCATGACCGTGACAGTGGTCGTCCCCATTGCTTGACTACTGCTTTACCCAACAATACACCGTTGTCGTCGCTTGATTATCAGTACAGACTTATCAATCCATCTCTGGGGAGAATCCATCTAGCAGAAGAGAAATGGTGTTGCTCGAGGTAATGTTGATTGTGATATGCTGCGATTGTCAATTATGACCATGACAGTGTTCGCCATTGGTTGCATTACACTGTTGTCGTTGCTTGATTATTACAGACTCATCAAGCCATCTCTGAGAACAATCCATCCAGCAGAAGTGAAATGGCGTCGCTCAACAAGGTAAGTTTGATTGTTGGATGTTTACATTGTGCATCATGTTGATGAAAGAAGTCGCTCATGTCATGATATGGTTTTGTTGCATTCAACCAACAATACACCATCGTTGTTGCTTGATTGCTGAAGATTTATCAAATCAACCGAACAGAAGAGAAATGGAGTATGTCAAGGTAAGTTTGACTGTTGGATGTTGCAATTGTGAATCATGAAGATGACGGTGGTCACCAATACTCAACTACTTCACCCAACAATACACCATTGTCGTTGCTTGATTGCTACAGACTTAGTATCAATCCATCTAGAAGAAAAGAAATGGTGTCCCTCAAGGTAAGTTTGATTGTTGAAGGTTGCGATTGACCGTGACAGTGGTCGCTATTGCTTGACTACTTTACCCAACAATACATTGTCGTTGTTGCTTGATTACTACAGACTCATCAAGCCATCTCTGAGAAGACTCCATCCAGCAGAAGAGAAATGGCGTCGCTCCAGGTAAGGTTGATTGTGATATGTTGTGATTGTCGACCATGTTGATGAAACAAGTCGCTCATGTCTTGATGTGGTGTGCATTCAACCAACATTACACAGTCTTCGTTGCTTAATTACTACAGACTCATCAAGTTGTCGTTGCTTGATTATTACAGACTTATCAAGCCATCTCTGAGAACAATCCATCCAGCAGAAGTGAAATGGCGTTGCTCAACAACGTAAGTTTGATTGTTGGATGCTTCCATTGTACATCATGTTGATGAAACAAGTTGCTCATGCCTTGATATGGTTTGCATTCAACCAATAATACACTGGCGGCTTCCCTTGATTACTACAGACTTATCAGGCCATCTCTGGGACGAATCCATCAAATAGAAGAGAAATGGCGTCGCTCTAGGTGTGCTTAATTGTTGTATGTTGCGTTTGTCAACGAGGATGGTCACAGTGGTCTCCACAAAATCAGGTTCGTCTTGGGGATCTTGTCTGAACTTGAAGGGGTTGGTTGGATGGGGCAAGGAGATATTCTCACCGTTGACCCGTCACATCTTGGTTTGTCAGAAGCTCATATACACAATCCAATACACAATCCAAGAAGGGGCGGATAAAGAGACTAGTAGGCCGATTGTCAGGGAGCCAGTCAATCATGTGTTCCTGGAAACCATTGGTCTTTTCTACCCCCAAGTGCAGTCAAAACTGAGTAAACAATTCAGACCGAGTGGTTGGGTCGGACAGAAAAAGATTAGGCTCTGTCTTGGTCGCTTTGTGGGCCCATGCTTGAATGTCAGAAACAGAGGAGGCTGACCATCCGTGTTTCCTTGCGAGACGAAGGAGGTGAAGGTCATCTTCCATTTTGGTGCTGATAGATGGTGGCATGAATTCCCGGTTGTACTCTTCTTGTTTCAGTCGGTCCAATAGGTAGTTGGAAGAATCAGGATTGGGGATGTTGGGGATGTTGTCACCAGGTTGTTGGGGGGCATGTGGATCATCCACTTCAAAATTAATAGTTGGCAATGTAATATCATTAGGAAGGTAGTTAGCCCTATACTGGGATCCTACATCAAGATCCATTACAAAGGACCCATTCCGATTGTTCCTCGCTTCTGACTCTATGGAAAGTTCTGACGATTCGGCCTCCTCGTGGTCATCATCATACTCAAAGTTGACAGATTCTCCATTGTCTTCTGTTTGAAAACTAGGATCCAAATTGTTGTTGAGACGGGAGTGGATGTAATTCCTCAGCCCTTCCTGAGATACTTGAGGTGGAAGTTTAGATGGGCATGTCTGGCTGTTGATTTGTTGGTTGCTAAGCTTGCTTTCTGGAGCAGAATAATGGGCAAAAAGAGTCTTTGACACAAACTCCTGAAAATCAGCCAACAGAGTGGCTTCCCGAAGCATTCCAAATGACCCCTTCTTCTTTTCTGTCTCGTTCTTTTCTTCTTCCATGGCAGCAGTGTCTTCTTCTGATCCACCGTCAGGTTCAAAGCCTGGCATAATATCAGTAGGGCTAGTGATATCGCTTACAGAATCCCCAGCTCAAAGGGGATTGGCATGGTGATTAGCTTGGAACACACGGGAGTCTTTAAAGTCAATCTCATCAACAGACTAAGCCCTGGCAAAGCAGGGGTCCTTCTTAAAACCTGGTTTTGCGGTTGACCTAAGATGTTGTGAAAGACCTGATGAAGTAAGCTTCCCTTGTTTGTTGCTATATTGCCCCTTGAAGTTTCTTTTCCAGCATAGACACCGTAGTGGAACATCTCCATACTTGCGCCTCTTGCTTTGTGGTGCAGTATCGTTGCTTGCCATGACAAAAAATTGCCATACGAAGGAGTGCGGGGAGTGATAAAATGCTGATCAATAGCCTTTTGTCCATGGATTGTGAAAAAAGGACATCACGTTGGGATGTGCAGGACAATGATGACCTTTTGGAAGAAAAGGACCTGACAACCAATGTCTCATGGTTGTCATAATGACTCTTGTGCGTCATTTGCCCCAAAGGAGTGTCAAAAAAAGGGGGCTCCTTGTGAAAAAAAGGACAAGGAACTTTTGGGAAAGACAAGGCATGCCGCAAAAAGGGCAGAACATGGGGAATTTTGGACAATTTCTTCATAAAAGGTCATACCTACTGTTTCAGATGTGATTCATGCTTGGTTGGTCCGATTCATGTGTGTTTCGTTTTTGTAATCTGTCACCGTGAGGTTGACGTGTTTTGGCGAGAAAAACTAATTGCAAAAAGTGTGCAAAAAACGCGCATTGACCGTGGGAAGGGCTATGGATACCAAATCATCATGATACTTGAGGAAGGTTGCAAGGATGAACCTGCATTTCTTAATGGGTGGTTCACTGATGCAACCAAAGCATCATTTAAAGCCACAAAGAATGAGGTTGAGTCTACAAGTGGAAGGGTGCAGAAGGCCAAGGTCCGAGACCAATGGCTAGCAAATGCACTTACCAACTGTGGCAATCAACCAATGCTGGTTGTGGACAACTGTACTGTAGATGCTTGGATGGCATTCCTGCAAACGTTCAGGACAAGCAAGGGAAAACTCCTTGTAAAGACATCCCTTGGCGTTAAGTGTTCCGCACTGTACCATCTATTTAGGTGCCATGACGCAATGGGAATGCCTGGTCAGTTCAAGCAAGAGTTATCTGTGAAGAAAAAAGGCCTTTACAGGCTAATTGCAAATGCGGCCCAAAATGAAGGTGGGCATGATAGCGACGGCAAGCTGCCTATGTTGTACAAGCTATATGTGAAATGCTGCCAGTGGCTATTGGAGAAGGGAGATGATAGGAGTATCTTTTGCCACTATTTTTTGGTCCTTATATGGAACTTAATGTGCAGGGCCAACAACACAGTGACAATTTTGTTCGAACATATGCAATGGCAGGCTGACCACTTGGAGCTTTTATTCTGTCAGCAAAAAAATGACACCACCAGAGAAAAGCAGCGTTTCCTAAGACGGCTATATGCAAATCCGCAGCAGCCAGAAGTGTGCCCAATATTTGCCCCTGCACTGTAGTTAGGCCTTAGGGACGGGCGATTGGAGATGAATGGGAAATTGTTTCAAGGGAATTCACAGTACAAACATTTCATGGACGGGCTATCCGATGTCCTAAAAGAGCACCAATCCGAACTGTTGCACATGGGATACGTGAGCTACACGGAGATTGGCTCTCACAGCATTAGAAAGGGAGCCACAGAGTGGCTTAGTGGGCAGCCTGGTGGTCCATCCTTGATCTCAATCTGTATCAGAGGAGGATGGTCGTTGGGTGGTGTCGAGGACGTCTACATGACATAGGAGGCAGAAGGAGACGCGTTTGTTGGTCGAATGCTTTCTCTTCTACCACTACTGAAAAGCGAATTTGCTGTCAGTGCACCTGAGTTCACGGACTTACCTACTGAAGAACTGGACCGGCACATAACAAGAGTGCTCCCAGGCTTGGCAGAACACAACCAAATGAAGCCAATTTTACATCGTTGCCTGGCAGCCATGGCCCATAACAAAGACCACGTTCTGCAATGGCCAATGGGCAATATCATTTGACAGAGCAATTTTTTCCGCGACCAAACAGTGGCAGAACGTCTCAAGCAGAAGGCAAGAGTCGTATATTCTTGGGAGGACAATGCAGCAGACGTTCGGTCTCTATCTGGCATCCCACCACATGTTTGTCAGCGCCTTATCAAATTTGTAGAAGCTTTCAAATCAGGATGGCAGCAAAAGTTGAAGGACACAATGAATGACCTTTTCAATGGCAGGAATGTTGCAAATGCCAGCATAAGTGAAGAATGGATACAAAGAATTGTTACAGATTCCCAAGAGGCTTCCTTTGCCAATTTCCTAGAACAGCTTTACAAGAGAGGAAACATTAACCTCCAACCAACAAACAATCAGCGAGGCTTAAGATTGGGTCAAACGAACGATGATGTCTCAGCCGCTCATCATATTCATACGCACAAAGATGGTTCAACTTGGCACCTGCCAGAAGAGTATGAATGGCCACAAGGGACAGCTCAGAGTCTTTGGAATGCTTGGAGCACAGAAGATACAGTGAATAAGATTCCACCACTGAAATTTCTCAAAGGTGCTGACTTCGGATTCATGGCAGGAAAAGTAAAGCGCACGCCTCGGCGGAAATTCAATGATATTAAGACCCTATGTAAATATATTGAAACGCAGGCAGCAAACAAGGGACTTGAGACTGCAAACTTGACAATCGAGGAAGATGATGATATTTTCCTTAAAATTGCAACAGAAGAAAATTGTTTGAAGCTTCCTGATGGGAAGCGATCGGTCCGATTGGCCATGACACTGAAAAAAGTACGGGAATCCAGAAAGCTGGCACGACAACCACAAGAAACAAATCCAACAAATCCAACAGAGCCATCAGTGAACCAAGATGAAGAAGTTGGAGAAAATGAAGAAGATACTAGTACAAGAAGAAATCCTGCAACAACAAGGAATACGGAGATGACAACAACACCCACAGTCGAACGTCGTCTGTTTGTCCATCAGATAATGGCCGTTGTTGAACGTCTGCACCCCAACGGCTAACGTATCCAAAGTATCTTATACAGGTATCAAGATTACCAATCTTGGCTACCATCTTCCCTCGCTAAGCTTCG